TTAGAATATACATGAAATGCAATGAATGGATTTTTAAATAGTTAACCTGAAGAAGAGGGTCCATATACATTACAACTGTAAGAAACAATGAATCATAATTATAACAGAGAAAGAAAGAAAGACTTATCTTTTAATGGTGATCTTCATAGGGGGTCTGCTTCACATGTTACTTGTCCTGTTCATGTCACGCATGATGAGGTCCAGTCCACATTTGCCAACAGGACAAGAGAGATATCCATCCATTTTCAACCGCTATTGATAAACTCTGGTCCATAGAATCCTGGACACAGATCAGTCAGACACAGATTAAAGTCAACAGCTTTAACAAAAGTCATTGTGTAGTACAAACCTGAAGACATCCTGTAGCTGAGAACATATTTCCTCAAGGGAGTTGGTTCACTTGGACCACCCTACAGTCCAGGAGGACAGATTTCCAGAGCTTCTGCAGATCCAGCACCAACACCTGTGGGGCCAGGATTCTTACTTATTTCATTGACTGATCTTGGCAAATTCAATGAGAACAGCACAAGTGAAGCCTCCACCACCCTGACCACAAGTCAATTATGCAGATAATTACAGAAATAAAAACATATACAACCAAGCAGGGATTAGAATGGGAAATGGTCCTCCTTAGATGTGATCAGTCTGGCTCCTTGGGGGCCAGGACCCCTGGCCCCCAAGGAGCCAGGCCCCCATAGCAACAAACTGAATATAACAAGGATTATCATATAGTACAACCCTTAAGACATCTAGTAGAAAGGAGGCAGGTCTAGATCTTACTTGATGTCAAGACCTGTCCAGGAAAGAGTTTCTCCAAGTTCCAGTCTCGGGTCTATTGGAGCAAAACACAAAATATATTAAAAGAAAAAAAATAAAAAATGACAAACTTTTGTTTAATGGTGCTTTTCATAGGGAATCTGGATCCAGCACCACCATCTGAAAATACACAGGTTTACTTCTCTGATGTTACCAGAGGTGCCCTGCCAATCACTCAACCTTTAACAAGTCTTAGGTTGTCACTTTGCCAAGTACATTTTCTATTAGAGACCCTAAACGTGCAATATGTTTCCTTCCAGATTACAAAAGCATTTTTCTAAATTTCAAAACATACCCCTGTATGTAAACAGTAAAACAGTTTTTGTAGAGGACAAAATTACTCTGCTGGGAGCCTTCCGAACATTGTCTAAACACCACATTAGACCAAGTCTTTAGCAGAAAATAGACTTTGCAGAGGGACCTAAAAGTCCACACACTGTAGGGTCATTAAAGACCATTTAATACCAAACAATTTTGCACAGATATTTAAATTCTCACGCAAAATTAAAGGTTTAAACAACATCTGTGAGCTCCTGTGAGCTCAACGCATCATAAACTTAATACTTATTACCAAAAAAGGACAAACTTATCTTTTTAATAATGTTCTTCATAGAAACAATGCTTCTGCTTTTCACATCATTTTTCCTGTACATCTCGTCCCTTATGTTTTGCCCCGGTGTTTCTACAAGTTCTTACTCCGTGTGTTAATGCTCTTATCTGTGCTGTACTTAGATGTCCCTATCTTGTACTTAGATGTCCTTATCTTGTGTCGCACTACTCCTGCACTGCACTATTCCCCCTTTCTCCCTCTATTTCTTACCTTATTCCCTGTAGTAGTATCGCATGCTGCTAGCACTGTGTGTTCTATGTTACCCCAGCGAGTCTACGGTCCCCCCATCCCAAGCATTTCATTGCATTGTAGACCATGTGTTGAAAGTGCATATGACAAATAAACCCGATCTTGAAATCTTGAAAAGTGACATTATGCTGTCTTGACCTGGATGTAGCTTCTCCAAGTTCCAATCTCAGGTATAGTAGATCAAAAGGGGGTAATTAACCTAACAAATTCTGAATGAAAACATACCACCAAAACACAAAACGTATCTTTTGAATTATCCTGTCTGCAGCACCCAGTCAATATCTGCAAACAGAGGTCAAGGGGAAGGGGTCAGTTCCAGAAGTCTACATCAGTTCCTTTATGTTCTGCTATTCAGCTCACAGAATATTTTAAAACATTTTAAAGAAGTAGTAAACATTCACTTAATCTTCAATATGTATTGGATTGTCCTCCAGCCAAGCACATTTTCTTCTAAAGACCCTAAACGTGCAATCTAATCTGTGTGCCTACCACAATACTTCAGTGTATTCATAAGTTTGCCAGGTTGGCCCTGCGTGTATCGAATAATTTTTTGCAAAGGACAAAATTACACAGTTCCCCTGTTGGGAGGCCTCCCAACACATTTTCTAAATGCCCCAGAAGGGCAGACAAGTCTTTAGTAGGAAATTAACTTGGCAGTGGGAGACAAGCCAGACCTAAAAGTCTACACTGTTTAAAAACAGACTGTTTAAAACCAAACAGTCAATTTTACACAATTGTTTAAATTATCACATAAAATTAAATGTTTTAAACATCTGTGAGCTCAACGTATCATAACCCAATATACCATAAAAGGACAAACTTATCTTTTTAACAGTGTTCTTCATTGGAACGGTGCTTCGGCTTTTCGTGCATGTTCACGTCAGATGGTCCAAACACTTATTTTCTCCAGGTACACCACTGCAGATGGGTTCTAAAAAGAACAAATTCCCCCAAAAATGTTGCACATGAAAGACATAACTGACTCAGATATAAAAATAAACAAATATTCTCCAAGCTCCCTTTACATAAAGTCTGTAGTATAATTTACTCCAGATACTGTCTACTGTGAAGTAAAGCCAACTCATCCACTCCTTCATATAAAGGTTGAACAGAAATGGCAGTCCACCATCACAAACAGCATCAAATCACAACAGATTCCATCAGTCCATTACAAATCGGTGTCATCCACTCATTTTTATATAATAAAACCATAGCAAAAACCCTGCAGAACCACAAACAAAAAAGAAATCACTGGTTAAAAAACAGTGAAAGTGAATTATGTCATTATGACACAGCACACCAAATTAAAAAAATATCTGCTGTTTATATAAAAACCTAGAGAGCACAAAGTGTTACAAGATATAACAAATTCAATTTTCATGTAAGCCATGTGAAGCTCCACAAATGCATAAAAACAAAAAGAAACAAAACTAAAGATAAAATAACTGCAATCAAAATATTCTGTGAAGACCAAACAGACTTAAAAAAAAAAAAAAAATCTGCAAAAACAGCACCACAAACAAAGAAACCACAAATTAGGACAATAAAATCTTGTACAGACCTACAAATGAAACTCATAAGAACCACAGAACAAATATGGAAAACAACCAATTGTCAAAAAGACAAAAATCTTTATTCTTTTGTAAGAAAAACCCTGTGAAGACTCACAAATAAAATCAAAAGTACTAATAAAAAGGAAAACAAAAGCCCACAAGGATTTTTTTTCAATGTAAAAACTATAAACCAAAAACAAAGTCACCCATTTGCTATACAAAAAAAGTAAATGAAGACCACAGCAAACACTAAGAACCACAAACTAAACCAAAACAATATCCACTCTAATGTTAAATAAAAAGTTTTTTTTAAATAATGACAACCCATGTAAAAACACTAATATCCAAACAGTTTACATTTAGTCACATTAGGTTTACATTTTACACTTTAGCTTTAATGGTGCTTCCACAAGTCAAGCTCTGAGTCCAACTGAAACAAAACCAAAGCAGCAAACAGCTAACAGGCTTCAGCTCAGGCCTGTAGGGGCACCACTGCTATCAGCACAACGCTAACTAGCTGCATCTGAGCCACCTCTTCAACGTGAGGCGCAGAATGGCCTACTTCACTAGATGAAAGCATTTCATTTGACCAAAACCAAAGAAGCTAACAGCTAAGAGGCTTCAGCTCAGGCCTGTACGTGGTCCTAACAGGAGTGGGGTCCCAACCACAAGGCCTAGCCTACCATCTCACAACAACAAGGCCACAATAAAAACAGAAACACACAAAAAAAGCACAAAATTAACAAAAACAACACAGTTAATAATTCACAACACCACAAATCAACATATAAACTCAAAGAAAAGAATGAGAACAGGGTTAGCATCAGCTTAACCCTAACCAAGGAAGCTAATCAGGCCAAAAAAAGAAAAAGTTGATCCAAACAGACAGAAAATAGAAGGAAGAGGACAAATCTAACAAATAAAAGAACAGAAGAGAAGAACCAGCATATCACCTACCTGTTCCAGCACAGAGAACCTCACCAGGGAGCAGTCAGAGAGAGAACTGAGCCATTTGGAGGCCTTATATACTACACCTGGTTAAGGGGGCGGGGCTAAGAGACGAGCTGGTGGAGGGGCTTAGGAATGAGCTGAGAAAACTAAATTAGATGTTTGTACAACCTTCACTACACCAAGAACTAAACATAGAATCTTATTCTGGGATGTCTAAAATGACAATAAGGACTTACTTTACTATGACTTTAATCAGAATCAGAAACATTTGTCTTGCCAGGTAGCTCTTCACCTACGAGGAATTTGTTGTGGCATACAGTGCAGTGAAAGAAATGTACACAAAAGTATACAAAATAAAATAAATTAGATTATGCCTATGGGTGGACATTTACCGAATAGTACAGAGAAGTGCAGGGGTGTGTATGCGCAGGTAAGGGTGGCTGGGGGATCTGTGGGGGATCAGTGAGAGTTTTTTGTCTGTTGACAAGGCTAATAGCAGATGGGAAGAAGTTGTTTTTGTGGCGAGAGGTTTTGGTAGGACCGCAACCTCCTGCCCGAGGGGAGCTCCTCATAAAAAGAATGAAAATGAATATTGAAATAATGAAAAATAATTCATCCGAGAGAAATAATTAATCCGTTCAGGAATCTCAACTACCAACTATATATTTATATAAGTATGGCTGCCTGAAGACGGTTAAAAAATGTCCACTAGATAGAAGCATTTGACCAAAACCTAAAAAACTACAGGGTTCACGACCCAACTAAAATCAAACAGTTGAAATGACAGGAAGTTAAGATATTTCACTTCAATAAGAAAATGCACATGTCCATTTGAAGATGACGTATTGAATATCTGTTTATTCCATGGCAGCATTTGAAACACAGAATAACTGACAATATGGATGTGATTGACAACAGACCACCCCACCACCACCCCTCCCTCTACCTCTCATACACTAATTAGACTGTCAATCAGTCAGTCTGCCAATGAGCACAGACCCCAACCCAGGGTGGCCAATCAGGGCTCTCCAGGTCCCACTCCTCACATGCTACTTCAGGAGCGTTGGAAAATACGGTGTCAAACGCTACTTCAGCAGGTTTTACAATTATTTTAATGCCTTTTTCTTCTTCTTGTGTATTTTAGCCTTTTGTTGTGTCGGTAGTTCAGTGTCTGTGAACTGTTAGTTTTCATAGTTTGGTCCAGTTGGACACCGTCAGTGTTAGCACAGTTGTGTTTACAGTGGAAACACCGACAGAGAAAAAAACTGAGGATATTTTCTTCCCAACTGTTTTAAATCTCCTGTCAAGATTACAAATGACCACAAAAACTTTGACAAGAGGATCGCTATCTGTCTTCAGACCCAGAAGCAGGTCCAGACCAAACCGACCTGCTTCAGGGTCTACTTTCACCTCCCAGTTTTCTAAAAGTTCCACTAAGGACAAAAGCCTGTCAGTTTGTCTTTTTAGGACAAAGATATGAGCTACTTTATTCTACTGACCCACATGTTTGTCCTCAATGTGCTGCTGGAAGCCTTCAAACAGACCCAGAGGACGAAGGACCGTGTGGTGGAGTGGAGCATCAAACAAACCAGGTTAACTTAAAACAGACTCGGCCTGTCAATCAAGATTTTGACCAATCACAAGACATTTTAAAGTCAAATTGGCTGTTCTGCTGGGCAGCTGCTCTTTAATATCTTTGCAGTATAATATACTGTAAGTCCATTACTGGACACAACTGTGCTCCTACTGCCAAGTACAGTAGCATGTACTGGTACTGGAGTGTAGAGACTATTAATGCAGTTTAGATGCAGTATCAAAGGCATTCACACCACAACCGTCTATATGAAAGATAATGTCACAATAAGGTAAGCTTTATTTTTATGGCTATAGGTTTTCCACATATATAATAATATATTTTACTTTGTAATTTTTTTTTTATTTATTTCCCTTTGTACAAGTTCAGAACAATTCTTCTTCTGTGACCAGGTAACACCCTGGACAGTTGTCAACCACAGTGTCACAGAGACAGGGCAATGACTAGTCACACTCACATTCACACCGATGGTTGGTTTAGAGTAAACAATAATCTGTTTGTTTGTGAACCGTGGAGAAAACCTGATAATCCTGCAACTGTTTTTTTTTAATCAAACCCTGAAATAAGCTTAAGGCATTTGATGTAAACAAACAAACAGTGCTAGCAGCTGGGAAAACAGCCAACCACATCCTTCACCCGACGTTGTCATCTTTCAACGTCATTTAAAAAAACACACTTTTTCATTTCACCCAATGTTGATTTTAGTCAAAGTTTGGAATTTTATTACCACAACTGTTCCTGAAGTTTCTGCTACATGGATTAATCAGCTGGTCAGACAATAACGTTCACAGTGAGCTTTGGCTACCTGGGAATATAAATATAAGACAGTGGAGGATTATGGGTAAAGGCCGTGTATTACACATCTTTCTAGTAACCTACCAAAAGAGCAGATGCTAACCTGAACCTGCCAGTAGGGAGTTTGGTTTGGTTTGGTTCACATATAGTAACTATTAGAGCTGCAAGTCACAAGTCAGTTAAGATCATCTCAATCCTGTTCCCCTGGTGGTTGGTAAAGAACTACACGGGGTATAGGACTGAATAAGTTAAATAAGTTCTCATTATTCACACAATCAGAGGGAAGATGACAAAATTGTCTCTCCTCGGACCACTTGAACATTCTCTCCTCCTCTTGTTCTTTGTCACCTCGTGTTTACAGATTATACATGTGCCACCAGAGAGCAGTAAATTGTCGTCCACATCGTTAACCAAAAACTTGACTTCACTATTGGCTTGTAAGCAGCGATTTAATTAACGCTTCTCTACTTTGCTTCAGTGTTCTCGATCGCGACGCCGCACTGGAACCGCAAACAGTGGCAGGGTTCTTGTCAGTGACGACAACTCGGGATCAGAGTTTGTTGAGAGCAGGTCTTCAGTCCTGGTGCCATGATGGTCTGAAGGTCTGAGGGACAGGTCCTGACAAACCTCATAAGAGCACTTCCTCTTCTGGAGAGCCTCGGCTCTGACAGCCAGGGATCGGGCACACATTGTCAGAAGAACGATGAGAGTGCCCAGAAGAAGTGACACCATTGGCCAGAGGACGCAATGGAGCAGGACACTGTTGTCATGGGAACGCCGCCACAGAACATCATCAGGTCTAAAAAACACAAATAGAAAAACAATATGTATTAATAAAGCTGGACATCAAAGACCATTAGCCACTGCAATACAAGACACAATGTTGAGTTTGTGTTTTAACATGAACCTGGTGGACCCTGGTTCAAGGATTCCGAAGCCTTGGTTTTCCATTGGAAAAACAGTATGAGTTTATGTATATGAAGATTCTCAGTCATCCAGGTCATGGTCGGAACTGAAGAAGCCTCTTGGATGAGAGGCCAAACGTCTTCCTTGGGAAAATTTCACGTCCAGTTGCCTAACAGAACTCGACCATGACCTGGCTGACTCAGAATCTTCATGTATGAGTTTAACTCTTATAAGTTTAAGGCCATAAAATGGTAACACAATGTGAAAAGCTTTTGAAAGTTCTCTGGTGGCCTGGTTTGGAGTGAATCACTACGTCATCTGCATAAAAGGATACCATTGAAATGTTTTCAACATGATCATTAATAGATCATTGATATAAATGACAGACCCTGGTCTGATCCCTGAGGCACCATCTTCACCAGAGGTCTAGAAATGCAGCCCTCTGATTGAACACACTGGGCTACGCTTTCAATATTTTTGAAATTATTGAAAGCCAAACAAACTGTTAGCATATCCAGTTAGCCTGCAGCATGCTACCAACAACATGCCAGGAAGAAATAGATGTGTTCACATTAATGAACATTGAACAACAGTCAGAGGACAGACATTAAAGGTTCAATTGTTGATCAAAGGTATAATCAAGAACACAAAAAAAATCACATAAAACGAAAAAAAGTACAGCAGCAATACTGCAGTATTTTGTCATTCAGTCATTAGTTCCAGGTATTTCTTGTAGAGCCTAATATTCTGATGATCAGTTTTAGAGGAACCCTGAAGATAAGGCTAAATTATTCATCAACTTTTTTTTTAGCTAAACTCTGACTGAATTGAAACAATAGTGTATAAAACTGGAGCCCTCAATATATAAGAACAAATTTAGAAGATCAATGGACCAGAACAGCAGAGCTCAGCACTTTTCAACAAACCAGACCAATCTCAGTGGATCATGAGTACCCTCCAGGGACATGTTTCTTTTAGACGAGTCAAAACTGAGGTCACTGACCCCGAGACTGAAAAACACCTAAATGCTTGTTCAGGTCCAGCCATCAGTAATAATCAATAATAAGAACAAAGAATGTTCACAGCAGCACACGCTGCATGTGTGTGTGTGTGTGTGTGTGTGTGTGTTTGTGTCTCACCTCCTCTGCTGGTTGAAGAAGCAGGTGAAGGAATGGCTGCTGACCTCTTTGGTGAAGTAATCTTCCCACCACAGGACACTGTCTTTGTTTTTCTGGTTGTCCCTCTCACAGGGGGGGACGTACGAACACTGAGGAAACAGAGATGTGACATGTAGAGCTGAAGGTTAGCACAATAAACACAACTGGGACTGTTGTAGCTAATGTTAGCTATGTTCCCTGTTGTTGTTCTACATTGAGGTGATGCTGTAGACTAACTTGAAGTACGGCTGACATCAGAGTGTTTACAAACAGACTAACCAGCAGGGGGCGCAAGTGCAACAGGCATTGGAGGGGTGAGTTGTGAGCGTGTGCGAGCGTGTGTGAGCGTGTGTGTGTTTTCCAGGTACAGCTGCACTTGTACTCCACAAGTTGATCACAGGAACTCCACCTAGTAAGAGGAAACTTCTAGGCAGAGGGGGCGCTAACAGACCAGTTAGCACTGGTCAAGATCAGAAACTCGGTTTCTGTAGTATGAGAGCTGCTATTAATAAAAGTTATTAGACCGACAACCAAGAAATGATTATGTCACAGATGAATCGGTTCATTGGCCTCATTAATTTTACATCACATCCTGTCGCTTGAGCGACATATGATGAACCGCAGACATAGCAGAGTTAATCACTTCCTGGCCGGAAAACAACACAAAACACTGCGACTGCTGATTGGATCAGGGTCTGCGTCTGGTCGCTAATGACATGCAGTACTATCTTCTGCTGAAGAGTACCCAGGCGTGAAAAGACTGGTGTGCAGTGATGCTGCTACTTGTGGTCATTGGTGGTATTACAATGTTAGAGATGTAGGTTTGTGTTTTCTTCTGAAGCAGGTAAAAAAATGTTTTTTATTATTCTGATAATGTTGCACATCTAGTCTGTGCTGTTGCACTGTGACAAGTATGTTTTTATGATTTACATGAATTTACATCAGTGTCAATAGATAGAACTGTATTAACCCCTCAGGGTTGCTTCAGGAAATGAAGCAGCATAACAGTCCCACTAGAACACAGAAGTGTGTGTGTGTGTGTGTGTGTGTGTGTGTGTTAGACAAACCATTGTGGCCTTTCTAGTCCAACTGTGCACATGGATAACCAGATTAACCTGAGGTTATGAGTGTGTGTGAGTGTGTGTGTGTGTGTGTGTGTGTGAGAGAGAGAGAGCGAGAGAGAGAGACACTCAAGAGAACAAGAGATGAATCAGCTAAATTAAATTACATTAAATTTTCACAACAAAGGTTTAAAAAACAAAAACAATCAATCTGAAAAAAGTTTAATTTTAAATGTTGATCAGTGTTCAGTGTAGCCAAGGAGAATGACTCATTATTGAATGAATTTTTAATTCAGGAGGAGCTCTATTTAATTGAACTGAAGAATAAAGTTATTACTGAGTAAAAACCTCATGTTTTACCTTTCAGCCAGGATCACAGATGGGTGAGATTAGAGGGAGCAGCAGCAGAGAGTAATTCTCCTTTGTGGACTATTAAAGGACTGGAAAATAAGAAGAAGAAAATAAAACCAGTTCAGACTGGTTTACAGTGGACTGCTCCAGTGTGTGTGTGTGTGTGTGTGTGTGTGTGTGTGTGTGTGTGTGTGTGTGTGTGTGTTCTTTACCCCCACAGTGTGATAGGAAGACTCCTGTTCAGGATGAAAACTGACCGGACATCGGACACGTTAGTGGTCAAAGACCAGAAGGACCACAAAGAGCTAAAGTATAAACCTATATAGATACCTTGAATTGTTACTTAGTACTATTGTTGTCAGTAGTAGAAGTAGCGATGTCATAGTTATTATTACCATTAATATTTAACATTTAGAGCAGTAGAGGATTGTCACTTCAGTCATATTTTATGGCCAACAGCAGAAGGAAATGAATGAGTTGCGAATTCAAATTGATGGAGAGAGAGGGGGGATGAGAAGGGAGGGAGTGAGAAATGGAGAAACAGATGGAGGGAGAGAGAGAGAGGGAGAGGGAGATACAGGGAGAGAGACGGGAAGAGAGAGAGAGAGAGAGAGACACTTGGACAATGGTGGACAGTGACTCTGAGTTAATGTGAGGAAAAAGAACCACAGGTCAAAGGTCACTATAATAATTGATCTCATCTTACATTTTTCATTAGCGTTTCTAAATCTGAGTTTCTGGGTCAGTTAAACTTCATGGAATCCAAAACTTTTTGAACCTGAACCTGTAGAAGACTAACCAAGTCATAACAACCAATCAGTTGTTGTTCACCTTAAACCTTCTGGTTATTGGTTGATCCCTCTCTCTAGTATAACAGACCATTTTTTCTAACACAAAGGTAAATAGAGTAGATCAATGAATGTAAACCAGTCCAACAGTTCCAGACTGCAGGTGGAACAGTTCCAGGTTCACAGTAAATAACTGACAGCTGCTTCAATAGTTCATTCATCATGTTGTCGGCTGAGAGTGAATCAGGAGGGAAAACAGTTCCTGCTCCACACTGAAGGATCACTGATATTTATGCTACGCCATCACTTCAGTGAGTGACAATAACCCTGCAAGTCACTGGTCCCTGGTGGTTGACTGCTGCAACTGTCCTGGTCGAAGCTGCTGAACTGCGTGTGGGTGGGTGTGTGTGTTGACCCTCTCTTTGCCTCATTAATTGTATAGAAAAGGTTGAAGGTGTTAAAAGTGACATCATCACTCCTCGTCCTCCATTAGACATGAAAGAACTCTCTCTCTCTCTCGCTCTCTCTCCCTCTCTCATCATCATCCCTGATCATCCCTGGTCACCATGGCAATGGGGAGGCATCAATGAGGCGTCATCTCGCCCCTCTATATTTACTCAGTTGCCGTAGCAACGACCCAGACATGCACTAAAGACGAGCCGCAGATCCACAGACAGAAGAAAGAAGAACACTGACTCAGAGTGGACAGAACAGCCACGGTCAGGTGACCCAGTCACTGTAGATGTTGGTGCCACTGTACACTAACACACACATCATGACTGTCCACAACTACAACAGCACACTCTCACCAAATAGGAATTCTGGGTAAATCTGCTGAAAAAACCTTCTACAACACAAGCACTGACATAGCACGAGTCGTGATGTGTTCACTGTCAGCTGTTACTTCATCAGGTTCTGGATCCCTGGTCTCATAGATAAGTTTGACCTCAATTCAACCATCAACAACCAATCAACACCAAGACCGAGGCTACAGCAGGAGTGTCATCAATAAAGGAGGTATTTTGATGAAAATAAAAAAACATGTGACTTTACCACCAGACACACTCACACAAATATACATACTGTGTATATATACTGTGTGTATATATATATATATATATATATATATATATATATATATATATATATATATATATATATATACACAGGTAGATGAATACTTTATTGATCCCAAAGGGAAATTAAGGAATATATGTGTATATATACATACATAGATATATAATTTTAATATTAATATCTTATAGATTGTTTTGATCTGACTCTGTAGCAGAAATCTATCCTAAATAACGAGTGATTTTTTTTTTTTTTACCTTAGGGTTGAGGAGCAGCTGTTGTTCATCGAAGTGCAACAGTGCCACAGAGTTGGACTCAGAGTTGTTGACGAAGATTTGGAGACAGGGATACAGAGACATCCCCTTGCAGTCAGCGCCACATGTGAACACGCACTCAAACATCTCCTCAGGATGTGAGACAGAAACCACCTGGAAGACAAATGGTTGACATGGTAGGATCAGCGGAGTGATGTGGATCATCAGAGACAAACACTCATTTACTCCAAGTTACATGTTGGCAGTTTTCACAGATCCCACATGGTGTCTGAGGAGGTGGAGGTGGTTGGCGCAGAACTCTAGTCCTAACCCTAACTACAAAAATCAACAACATCCAAATGTTGGATAATTTGCTTCAAATGAATAAAATTATTTAAAAATGTTGCATTTTAAAACATTTTTAAAGAACATCAACGTTTTACTCTTGTGCTAGAATTTGCGCACGCACACTGTACTGTTGACCAGTGGAGTCCAGAACAACAATGATGATCAAATCAACATGATTTATTGTTTTACTGTTGACGAGAAAGTTTGTAAATAATCTTTGATTTCAGGTTCATTTCAATAATGTTTAAAAAATAAATAAAACATACGATGTAAATTCCTAAAACTGCATTCTGATGAGTATAACCAACGTAAATCTATATTTACTTATTAAAATGCAGCCCCAGAATCGAACAAAATAATGAATTCGACAGCATTAAATAATATGACAAACTCACATTAACCATAGTTCACGATATCGAATCAACGTCGGGTTTATGATGATACTACTTACTTACAGTACAGTACTTACAGTACAGTACTTGCAGAGCAGTGTTTGCAGTAGTAATGGGGAAGCCTCGCGACAATAATTTTCCAATAAAAATTGTATAAAATGGCAGTAATAAATATTTTCTAACGCTGAGACTCAGTGCGCCTCGGTTTCGGGCTGTAGCGCCGCGGCAGCAGCCGCAGCTAACAGCCCGGAGCTTGGAGCTCGTGGCCGGGCTTACCGTGCAGTTGGCTGGTTTGCTCTGGAGACTTTGCAGCGTCGGGTTGAGCCAACAGAATCCCAGGATGAAGAGGCTGAGGATCCCGCAGGCGATCAGGAACAAGCCCAACCGGATACTTTTGTCCTCGGCCTCCGAGTACTCGTACGACACTCGGATCTTCGCCATGGCACCGACTTGGAGTCCGTCTCCGGCGGCATGGAGAGGAGGATGAGGAGGATGAGGAAGAGAGATTTGGAAGGAAGGGGTGGCGTAGGGGAGGAGAATGAGTTTCCTGTAGATGATAAACTGTTTAGTTTCAGCGCCGTCGGTGCTGTCTGTGGATGCGTTTCTTCTCTGACTCATCATCAACATCAACATTAACACGTTTTTCTGGGGCAATATTTTCATTCATTGTTTGAATTCATACTGCTGAAACTTTAAATACTTTAAATTAATTCTGACCCAGCTTCCCTCCCGCAGCCCCAGTAAGAGGCTTATCTCAGCTAACATTAAACACAACCAGGACAACAGGCAGACACTGAGGCCCAGACCTGCAGCTCAGTGCCCTAGCCTCTCATCCAACCATTAGCTAAAGTTATTGATTGTTCTTTTTTCCCTGTATTTGATAATTATTGTCATCAACTTGTTTTATTTTCTTAATTCTACTTCATTAGTTGCTGCTGTGGTGACAATGTCTCTACAGATGTGTGTGTGTGTGTGTGTGTGTGTGTGTAATCAGCGTCCACTACAGCCTCCAAGTGTTGTCGCTAACCCACCCCAAGGTGGGTTCACAACCTTAACCAGAGAACCAGGAAGCACGTTGACTGAGGTCAGAGACAAGGCAATACCTCTGAGATTATTCTGGAGAATAATTTCCCTTTCTTTGATTCTCAATATATTAATGAAGAGACAATTGTATCATAATGGATTTGTCACATCCAATGTTTATATATATATATTCCTTTAAACCACGGTTAAACTCACCATAAAAAAACATCCACAGATTGACGACAGTCAACCAACATCAACAAAACCATCAAGAAAACCAACCACCCAACTGACCAATCAACTGATCACCCAAAATTAACGGCAAACTGACTGACCACAGCCTACAACAACAGGTGACAAGTGAACCTGTGACATCAACAGGTCAACTCCAACAGATGCGGCCATGACCAGAACTGACCCGTCAGTCAGAACCTCTGAGTTCTGCTACAGCTGATATGAAATCATTGTCCTCCTCTGAGCAGAAAGACTGAGCTTCATGATAATCACCAAGGCGTGCAGCAGGATTATTATCATCTGTGCAGATCAAGAGGTTACAAACTAGAATGGACGTCATGGGGAGGGGGGGTCCAGGGTCAGCACAGTCAGAGAGAAGCTGTATGGACAGAAGAAAAGTCAATAGAACATTTAAAATATGAAGACAAGGGAAGAGGAGAAGACCCTGAGGTGGAGGAGGAAGAAAAGAAGGTAGATGACGTAGGAGGAGAAAGAGGAGACAAAAAGGGAAGGAGGAAAAGAATACAAACGAGAGGAAGAGGAGGAGAAAAACGACAAGCTCTCAGATGCTGAAGTTGGAGGTTAGGGTGGAGTTCCTGAGACAAGTGGCTGAAAAACACACGCACACTGCTGCTCTTTAATCCAACGGCGACATCATGTGGACAAACTGGAGAACAGGTCAAATGCGTCACAATATTTTTAGTAATTCTTTGGTTTGATGGTCAGAAATTAAATTAATTAATTAATTTAACTTAAAGTAACGAAATGTTGTATCCCCTAAAAACAGTCAGGGTAAATAGACACTATCTAACCTGCCACCTCCCCTAGTGGCCAATCCTCTTCTTTACGTCAAAGTTGAAGAGAAACAAAGTGAGTCCTTTTTGCTTTCATTAACAGAATAGTTTATTTATTTTTTTAAATTAAAACACTAGCTGCCATATTTGATAAAACAGCCAATGGCCAGGTCCCACGCTGCTTTTCTTCAGTTGAAGGGTCACATGGTGTCAGTGGGCATGTCCTTGGCATCTCTGCTTAAGTTCTTTGTTTTTTATTGTTGTTGCTGTTAAAGTTGTGGTCCAGTTGTGGTCCACGTTGTGGTGTGGAGCTGGTCTCACGTAGAAACATCTGGAGCCATGGTGTCCAGAGTGAACAGGAAGTATTGCATTGGTCAGACATGGTCATTAAAGGCAAATGTTTTTTGTATTGTTTTTCTTAAAAACTGTTGTGTTTTGGTTATACATGTATATTTGAATATGTATATATGTAGATACACATATATGCATTTCAGTGGTGACTCCTGGCCTGCCGTGATGGTAAAACTCTGGACATCTGGTTTGTGCTGTTGGTTTGTTTTTGATTCATATTTTAGAAAAGTAACTTAAACTTTATCTGTGTGTCAGTGGGTGATCATCAGTCAACAAAAGGGGATTTTCCCCATCAGTGTAACTAAAAGTCTGATGGGGGGGTCAGCAGGGGAGGGTGAGAACAGATGATTTAAAAAAAAAATGTAAAGATGTGAGAAGCTATGATGTCATCATATATATTCTGTTTGGTTTTTCACACTTTCTTAACTCTTCAAACAAAACTCATTTAAACGTTAGCCCTCTACCTTGAAATGACCCACATGACTAACACTTTTGTGCCTATTAGTGTGTTTGTTAAACTTTCAATCTTCACACTAATCTAAGGGGCTCTGCGCCCCCCCACAACTGCCCAACTCAGCATAGAGCTAAAGGGGTGAAGCCCCTTGAGCCCCCGGGGGGTCCAGATCATTTCCATTCCCCTGTTCTCTCTTCTCTTTCCACCATGTTTTACAGTTGCTTTCGCAGAAAGTTCTCACTGTGTTTCATGGCTCACCTCATGAATGGGCTCAGGGAGGTGATGTCAGAGGGAGTCAGGGGCTCAGGGAGGAGGTGATGTCAG